AGAATCGTAATCTGAAGAGATCTCAGCTGCTCCTTCGTGGCCAAGCACGACACGACTATGCACTCGCTTTAATTGAAGACCGGACTTCCGGATATTGGAGAGAAATTGGACATCAAGACCTTTCAAGTGTTCAAAATATATCTGGAATACCTTTAAAGCTGTGGAACATCCAAAATTTCCATTAAGGACTTTCGATAAGTGCGAAAGGAGAAAGAGGTGAAAGGAGTGTCAAGAGAATCCGATTAAATGGAAGATTTTGATTTTAAATGATTTTGAATTTCTTCTATTAAAAATTATTTATAAATTACAAAATTGGACAAATTTATTATGGTGGGAAAATTTAAAATTGGACAATTTTTTAACGGCAGCAAAATATTTAAAATTGGACAAATTTTTGTTGGTAGGAAAATTTGAAATTGGACAAGTTTTTAACGGCGGGAAATTTAAGAAAATGGACAAGTTTTTTTATTGGCGCGAAATTTAAAAAATTGAACCAATTATTTTTGGTGCCAAATTAAAAAAAAAAAAATTGGACAAGTTCCTCTTGGAAAATTCGAAAAAAAAATTCGTACATTTCTTGTGTAATTAATTATTCCATAAATAGTCCAATTCAAAAATTGGACAATTTTTTTTATATTGGTGCACAGAAATATTAAAATTGGACAAAATTGTTAATGGCGGGAAATTATTTAAAAGTGGACAAACTGCAAAATTTACAAAATAATTCCTTTCTCATCAAAACTGGACAATTTTTTTATAAACGCTAAAAAGGGCGGGAAATTTCAAAAATTGAAAATATAAATTCTTCATTGAAGAAAAATTGAAAAAGAAGTTGTCAAATATTATCAAAAGTAATAAAAGAAAAGAACATTTGTCACTCTTTTCGATAAAGAGAAAAAGTTTTTATTTTTTATTTTTTGAAATTCCACGTACGACGGGTTGCCTATAGCTCAATTTTATCTTCTTCGATATAAAAATTGCTGTCTATTTTGTAAGTGTATATGACATTTGGTTTTCGCTTACGCTACGTGGGGTTTCTACTTATGTTTGGTCGCACAAGTTCACGGAAAAGAGGAGGGGGGGAGTGGGAGGGTTTAGGGATGGAGGTAGCTACCTCCCTTTCCCCCTCTTCACGTCCGATCAATAGACCCAGAAAGGGTCGTGGAAGCGTCCAGCGACCACCGCTGTCTGGGCATCGATCCTTCTCCATTCCTCCCCCCCCACCCAAAATGTACACAAACTTGTGTGGATGTTTGAGTCCTTCCTATACTCTTTTACCTTCTTCTTCTCTTCTCCTCTCTCTCTCTTTCTCTTCCACCTATAAATTCACCTAACTTACTTTCTCTGGCTTCGCCTTGTTTTATTTCATCTCTTTTTACCCCTGGCAAGGCAGGAAATGACTCTACCCTTCTTCTTGCTCTTTCAATGTCGAGAGGCATAAAAAAAAGAAGAGGGAGGAGGAGGAGGAGGGGAAACAAAAAAAGAGGAGAAAAAAAAATCTTGCAGAGTAATGTCATTCTATACTATAGAATTTAGGTACATATTCTAATTTCAACGGAGAAATTTTGATGAGAAAAAAAATTAATTTAAATTCCTGAAGAAAAATTTTGTTTATTATTTTTTTAAGAGGGAGGAAATTATTTAATTAATTGAAATTTTATTTAAAATCTGCTTTGATTCTATTTTTAAATTACTATGACGCTATATGTAGTGGCTGAGGAAAATCTGCTTTAACCCTACAATCAATCTACTTAAACACTAAATTCTACCAACTTAGTACTACATTTAATCTCATTTAACCCTACATTAACCCTAGTTAGCCATACACTCAACTGACATTAACTCTACATTAAATCTACTTAGTCCTACATTCAACCTACTTTAACCCTCCATTAAACCTATTTTAACTTTACATTGAATCTACTTTGCTATACATTAAACCTACTTAGTCCTACATTTAACCTAGTTTAACCGTCTATTAAACCTACTTTAACCCTACATTAACTCTGGTTAGCCATACACTCAGCTTACTTTAACTCTACATTAAACCTTATTTGACCCTACATTAAATCTACTTAGTCCTAAATTCAACCTAGTTTAACCCTTAATTCAACCTATTTTAACTCTACATTGAATCTACTTTGCTCTACATTCAAGTTTTTTTAAACTCTTTTTTAAGCCCTGCATTAATCTTATTTTAATACTACATTAAATCTACTTTAAGCCTACATTAAATCTAGGTAGCCATACACTCTACTTTGCACCATTTTTAAATACTACATTAAACCTATTTTAACCCTATATTATACCTACTTAAACCCTAAATTAAACCTACTTTAAACATACTTAGTCCTAAATTGCACTTACTTTAATCCCTACATTAACCCTACATTATATCTACATTAATCCTGCTTTAACCCTACAGTAAGCATATCTTAACCATATATTGAACCTATTTTGACACTAAACTAAACCTATTTAGCCCTACATTAAACCTTCTTTAACCCTTTTTCGAAAGTATATATCCTACCTTGAACCTACTTCAACCCTACATTAAAATTTCTTAAACCTTCTTTAATCCTACATTTAAACTACTAAAACCTAACTTTAGACCTTATTTAACTCTTCGTTGAATCTGCGTTGGACTATTTTAAACCCTGAACTTATTTCACTCCTGCCTTGAGCCAACTTTTAACCTAAATTTGAACTTTTTAACCCTCTCCTTAAACCCTATTCAACCCTTCATTGAACCTACATTAAACCTATTTTTAGTTTTATTGCTTTTAATTCTACCTTAAAACTAAAAAAACCTACTTAACCCTACCTTCAACAATTTTATTTACCAAAAAAAAAAAATGGAAAAAACCTTGTATTCTATTTTCTTCTTTCATTAAAATTTAATTTCAAAAACGAAAAATATTCACAATTAAAGAATGTGATTTTTCAAAATGAACCAAAATTTAATACTAAAAAATAATTTTTCTTTTTTTTTCTTTTATGGCTTTTATTTGATAAGGGGGAAAATTTGAAAATTCCTATTTGTGAAAACTCATCATTTATCATTCGTCATGATTCAATAGCATACTTGACGGCTAAGATTCGCACAAGCAAGTTGACTTCTTTCTTTTTTTTTTACTTTTGAAGCTGATCGAGGTTGACATAAAAAATTGGCGAAGGGTCGACACGAGAGAAGACGTGAAAGGTGAGGTGGGGGAGGGGGGAAAGGATCGAAGGGGGAGGTCTTGAACTGTCTGAGAAGTCAAACAGCTATAAATCACATGACGAGAAATCTTGCCTAACTTTTCATTTTTACCTTCCTTTTTTTAGAAAGGAGAGAGAGAGAGAGAGAGAGAGAGAGAGAGAGAAAATCTCAAGAATTATCCTCGCCAGTTACTAATTTTTTTACCAACTTTTTTTTTCTTGTTTAACTCTTACATGTGAAACAAATTATCCCAAAAATTTAGTCAGTCAAGTGTTATTTTTATTATTATATTTTTTTTGCTGTTAATAACATCTCAAGAGGGGTAGAAAAATTCACGTTGAAAGGTCAATTTCTTAATTTGTCACTTGCCAACGTACGCGAGAAAAAAAAACGAAAAAAAATTCGTCGACTATCAATCATGAAGCATGTGTTCAATAAAAAGGGAAAAAAAGAGAGAAAAGTGAGAAAAAATGTAATAAAAAACGTCATGTAAGAAAAGTATTAAATAATAATAATAATAATAATTTATAATAATAATAATAATAATAATAATAAAAAGATTATATCAAAATTAAAAGATTTATTTTTATAGTCAAAAACAGAGTGGCCAGGACTTTACAATTACATCTCGTATTTAATAGTTATCTCTACCCTTCCCTTAACCCCTTACTCCTATATTTAACCCCTCCCACCCCCTCCCCCACCCGCATTCGTAAACCGCATAATCTCCAACCAGATTTACAATTTACCAAAAGCCAATTTGTACTCGATAGAAAATCATTAACAATCACATTTCGCATTCGTTTAACATTTATTTAATATTATCAAACATATACGATAATCATCAATAATTATTTCCAAAAATTCATAAATACTGATATTCACTATTTAATAATTAAAATATTTTTAATTAATTATTTTTTCTTCATTGACACCTCTTTTATAATTTAAAAAATAGTTTTTTTCATTTTGTAAATAGATAAGAGGCGTATCAAGTGGGAGGAGCTTAGTGCTGAGACGTGATCATTGGGCAGAGCAAATTATAATAACGTAATCAAAATTTCTTAAAAAAAACATTGGAGGCGTGTTCAGTGGGCGGAGTTTATTAAAGAGGCGTGGTCACTGGGCGGGACGAAAAAATTGAAGGCATGTACAGTGGGCGTATCCTAATATTGAGGTGTATACAATAGATGGTAAACAAATAATAAGGGCGTAATTAATATTTCCAGAAAAACGTTGGAGGTGTACCCAGTGGGCGGAGCTTAATATTGAGGCGTGGTCACTAGGCGGAGCTAATATTGGAGGTGTGTACATTGGACGGAGCCTAATATTGAGACGTGGGCCCTAGGTGGAGCAAACATTAGAGGCGTGTTCAGTAGGCGGAGCCTAATATTGAGGCATAAACATTAGGCGGGGAACAAATAATAAAGGCGTAATGAATATTTCCAGAAAAATGTTAGAGGCGTGGTCAGTAGGAGGAACAAACACTCAAAGATTAGAGGCGTGTCCAATGGGCGGAGCCTAATATTAAGGCGTGGTTAGTAGGCGGAGAACATTACAATGACGTTATTAAAATTGGAAAAGTGTCTGGTGGGCGGAGCAAAAATTTGAATAGCGTAATAATTTTGTAATTGAGGGCGTGTCTAGTGGACGGAGTTTAATTAAGGGCGTGGCCTATGAAAATAACGCCTTTGTTTAATATTTTGAAAATAGGTTTAAAAAATAGCAAAATTGTTTAAAACTAATAATAATGCAAAGTATAAATAAAAAAAGGAATTTTTTTTCTAAAATTACTCACCACGACTGTTGCCACTGAATTTATCCCTCAGTACATTGATTTGATGAACACGGCCGTATTCCTCGAATATTGGTCGAAGGTCATTTTCATCCATATCCTTAGGCACCTGGCCGACAAACATTTTAATGTTGTCTGGATCTGGTTTCTCCGAACTATTATTGTTGAGGATACTGTAAAATGAAAAAAAAGTATATTTTAAAAAATATTCTTTTGTTGTCAATAGTTGTTCTTTTTTTTTATAACAATACTGACAAATTATCAGTCAATTTCGATATCGTTGGGTAAAAAAAAAGAAGAATATTTTTTATCATTATCGTAAAATGTTCATATAGGGGTTAAAGTACTTTGTGCTTGGAATAAGAAAAAAAAATTTTTTTGGGAAAAAACTATCCTTTTCCATAAACGTGATACGGAGTTGGAAGTTCATTCAGTAAAGGAGGAGGACGGGGGTTAGATCACGTGAAGAATCGAGTTTTCAAGAGATGTTGCCAGGTCGACGTAAGCACAGACTGAGGTTTCTGCTTCATCGGTAATAGATCCTCTACTTCTTCTTGGCAATTTTTTTTCTTTACTCTTTTTTTTTATTTTTGTTTGTTTGTTTTTTTTTTTGCTTCCACTGGATCGTCCAAAAGTCGATGGCTATGAATAGAACGATGCGGGGGAAAATTGGGTTATTCCTTGACGATACGGTACTTCCGTATATACGGTAGATTTTTTGAGGAAAAGATGGATTATCAGAAATTGCAAAAAAAAACATTAAATGAACGAGAAAAATAAATATATTTTATCATTCAAAATTTAAATTCTACACTATAATTTTTTTGTTTTGTACTCTATATTTTACTTTCTACCTTTCTTAATCTACTTTCTTCTTTCCGAAGTATACTTTCTACCTTTTATACTGTGATTTTTACCTTTTATATTCTACTTTCAATTTTTCTTATTCTACTTTCTACTTTTCCTACTGTACTTTTTTCTACTCTAGTTCTACTTTTTAAACTTTATATTCTACTTTGTAATTCCGTTCTTTTGTACTCTTTATTCTACTTTCTACCTTCCATTATCTACTTTCTACTTTTTCTACTCTACTTCTACTTTTCAAACTTTATATTCTACTCTGTAATTCCGTTCTTTTGTACTCTACATTCTACTTTCTACCTTCCATTATCTACTTTCTACATTTCCTACTCTAATTTTTTCTACACTACTTCTACTTTTCAAACTTTATATTCTACTCTGTAATTCCGTTCTTTTGTACTCTACATTCTACTTTCTACCTTCCATTATCTACTTTCTACATTTCCTACTCTAATTTTTTCTACACTACTTCTACTTTTCAAACTTTATATTCTACTCTGTAATTCCGTTCTTTTGTACTCTACATTCTACTTTTTACCTTCCATTATCTACTTTCTACTTTTCCTACTCTACTTTTTTCTACTCTAGTTCTACTTTTCAAACTTTATATTCTACTCTGTAATTCCGTTCTTTTGTACTCTACATTCTACTTTCTACCTTCCATTTTATCTACTTCCTACTTTTCTCATTGTACGTTCTACCTTGGCAACTCTTTTTTATACCTTTCGTACTCTACTTTTTTACATCCTTCTTGTCGCATTCCATTTTCTTACTTTTCGCAATCATTTTTATTTAGTGTTCTACTTTCTACATCCTATTGCTAAAGTAGAATAATATAAATAAAAAATAAAATAATTTTAGTTTTTCTTTTGGAATTTACAAAATTATAATTTAAAAAAAGACTGATCGAAAAAGTTGACATTTTTTTTTATTTATTTGTTTGTTTTTTTTCGCTTTCTCTAAAGTTACATCATCAATCATGTGACATCAGGTTTTGAATGATTGATTCTCTTGTGCATTAAGCGACTTTTTCTCGCATCGTTTACTTTTCATCTTATGTGATCAATTTTATTAATTTTTTAAATCAATTTTATTTAGAACAAAAAACTGTGGTTAAAGTTTAAAAAAAAATCAAAGAAAATAAATAAAAATCAAATTTCGTTGAAACACTTCTTTTTCTCTATATATACTAATCGTGAAACGAGAGCCAATTAACTAAGTGAGAAGTTCAAATGAGTGTAAAAAAAAAAGTTTTTAACTTATTTGTCTCCGATTTTATAAAGAGATCCTTATTCGCGAGACTAAAACAAAAAGCTTCTCTCCACACCAAATCAAGTGCGAGTAGTTGTCAAAGAAAAAAAAACGAAAGAAAGAAAAAGAAAAACATCTGAATGGGAAAAAGTAAGAAGAAAAAGAACCGAAGCAGAAGGTTTGAGAGAGTTGGAAAACGATAAATATAAGAGAATGGTAAAGATACACTCTAATTTTATAAAGTAGAAGACAATGATTGGAAAAAAGTACAAAAAAAAAAGAATAAAGCAAAGCTTGTTATAAAAAAAAGAAAAAAAAAGACTTTTTTTGTTACTAAAGGAAATTGATATAAACTCAAAATAAATATTATCTGTAATAAGCTTTAAATACTTTTTTTTTAATTTCGACCCCGGATTTGTAATCAGCGATTCCAAAAATCCCTGATTAGTAAATTTCAAATCAAATATGATAATTTTTTAAAAATAAAGTTCCCGACATTTTACGTTTTTTATTTTGAATTTCGAAAAATTAACATTAAATTCGTTATCAGCGATCATTAAAAACAGTTTGTAACATATTTCAAAGAAATTCGATAATTTTTTTTTTGAAATTTTCCAGTCGGTAATTTAGATTCCTGCCTTAACATTGGTCGATAATAGGAAATACTGACATGTTTTAAATCAGTTGTCCATCAGTCGGTAATGTAGATTTATGCTTTACCATCGGTGGATAATATCACATTCCGACACGTTTTCAAAGAGTTGACCATCAATCGGTAAAGTAGGTTTCTACTTTACCAACGGCCGGTAATAAAAAATTAGTACTTTGCCCTCGATGGATAACATAGATTTCTACCTTATTATCGGTCGGTAATAAAGATTTCTACTTTACCATTAGTCGATAATGTAGATTTTTGGAATTTTCTGCACTGATCGTCAATAAATATTAAATCCTCCTTTTCCTAAACGGTTTAATAATGCAATATCACAATTTATATAAATTATTATTTTGAAAAAAGTTATTTTTCATATTCGACAGCATTTTAAATATTTACCATATCGAAAATTGATTTTCTCTTTCTTGCTTACTATGTCAGTCATGAATTTTCAAGAATTTTACTTCAAGAGAGAGAGAGAGAGAGAGAGGAAGAGAGGAAGAGGGAGATTTAGACGAAGCAGTTATCCATTTGTGCACGTGACTGAATGCAGTTTACCCACTCGACATTCCAAACACTCGAAAACTCGAGTTAATCGTCGGAGCGAAAGCGTTTACTTTGCTGCTGAAACGCGAGCAAAAAGGAGGGGGGTGGTGGTTGTTGTAAGCTAGAGGAAAAAGGGGGGGAGGGGTTGACGTATATCACAGTGCATATGAGATACGAAAAGACCAGCAAACGAAAGAGGTAAAAGGAGAAGGATAGAGGGGAAAATGGTTGAAGATCCAGAAGGGGAATTTACTGTCGGTAAACCCCAGTGTGTACCAACTTGAAATAAGGGGGTGAAAACAGCGTGTAGGGGGTGGGGAGGGATTTGCTGTTTTATTGAGCCAAGAATTGGGTCAAGTTTGCAAGACTTTTCTTAAACGACGTCGACGACGTCAACGACGACAAGGATGACATCGTCTATTTGAAATTGACATTTTACAGGAAATTGCTACCGTGTGCATAAATCGGACAAGAGACTATACTCCTTTGATCGGTTTTCCTTTACCGCTAAAGATATTTATGCTTGTGATTTTTATCTTTATTGCAAAAAAAAAAAAAAAAAATTTCCTTTTCCTTAGATGCATGATTATTTATATTACCTACCGATAGTAAAGTGGAAATCTACATTACCGACTGCTTGTAAATTAGGAATTTTCATTAGGCGAACACTAAGTAGAAAATTGCGTTACCGTCTAAGTGTAAAATAGGAATTTTGATTGGCCAATGATAAAGTAGAAATCTACATTACCGACTTATTGCAATTTAGGAGTTTTCATGATCAAAAAAATGGAAAAAATAAAACTCTACATTACCGACTGATTATAAAAGAAGCATTTTCATTATCGAACAATAAAGTAGAAATCTACATTACCGACTGATTGCAATATAGGAATTTCCATTATTAAACAAAGGTAAAATAGAACTCTACGTTACAAAATGATAAAGTAGAAATCTACATTACTGACTGTTGATATTTTTATTATAAACATTGACTTGGCTAGAATTTAAAAAAAATCATTTCTCTGTCCTTTTCTCTCTCTCTCTGTCTGTCCGTTTATCCAAAAAAATAGTTTTTTCCTTAATTAAGAAATGGTTTCTTCTAAAAATATCAAAAATCATCAAAAAATTAGTGTCGAATTCGAAAAAAAGTAGAAGTACAATTTTCTAGGAGACGAATATACTCTTTCTCTCTGATGGAATTACGATCTTTGAACAAACCTTGACTTGGGAAAATGAGAGAGAAAGAGAGAGAGAGAGAGAGAAAGATCAGTTGGCTGGCAAGCGAGAATCAAGTCAATGGAGGGATATTGGATTATTTTCTCTCCAGAAATATAATGCTGGAACTAGAAGAAGAAGAAGAAGAAGGGAATGTTCTCGTAAAGAAAAAGATAATTTATAAACGATAAATTGAATTTCCGAGTTTCTCGGATTTATTTTCCATGTGAATTGAATCAATTTTTTTTTCATTCATTACAGATTGATCAAATATTTCTAATTTTGTAAATTCTAGTTTTTTTTGGGAGGGGGGGAAATTAATTAATTTTTCAAAATTAATTTCAGGTTTGAATTCAATTATTTTTTGATTATTATTAAAGATTTATCAATTATTATTTCTAATTTTGTAAATTCTATTTTTAGAAAAATTAATGAAATTTTCGAAATTAATTTTGAATTTCCTTGAAATGAAAACAGGAACAATAAGAAGGGACAAAATTTAATGGCCAATGGAAACCTAATTAGACAATCTCTCCTTTTTCTCCCTTAAGACAATTTTACTGACTTAAAATATATGTGGCGATTTTCATGATGAGAGGAGGGAAGAGAGGTTTTGGAAGGAAGAAAGGAAGGAAGGAGGGTTTT